ACAGTTGTGGGATTATATTCTAGCATCTGCGTTTGTTGCCATTTTTTGGTGTTTTTTGTGTTTTTTGTGTTGTTGTTTTTTTGGTTTTTTTTTTGGGGGGGGTCCAAAAGTTGCGATTAATTTTCAAGCTTTCAACTCTCTGTGACGACGTATATATAGCAATATGTTGATAGAGGTAACAATCTAAAGCACAAAGAATTTCTTGTGCTCTGTTTTAAGCATTCAGAATATCATTTGTAGTCACACATAGGGTAAAAACGTGAAAAATAAAGATTTCACAATAGAATGAAACCAAAATTAAAACAGCTCGGATAAATAACCACTAAAATTAACAAATAAGGCGCGTGTCCACCTATCCGAGGATTGGCTGTTTTAACCCTAAACGCATGTAATTCAATAAAAAAAAAAGTAGGCCTACAGGATATTGCATGTAAATTATGGAATCACACACAATTGGGGCGTGCCAGTGTCAGTATTCGGTTTTGGTGGAGACTCGCTCTAACGTAAAACATTTATATTTTTTAAAGGGTAGGAACAACATTAAAATGAATGGAATTACGCTGTATAAACACCAAAAAAAAGAAAAACAATTTATCAGAACAATTTTTAGGAAAATTAACACACCTACAAATCAAAACACAATGAAGAGGGAAAAATAAAAGACAGACAGCAATATAAATAATATGTATTGTACTTATATAGCCTACTTCGCATGAAAATAGATAAACATGGACATCTTTAAATGTATCAAAATACATGTCTAATTTGTTATGAAATAGCTTCGTTGTTTGTCTTTTTTTAGAAAAAAGCAAAAATCGCGACCGCGATTCACGGGTTGCGGCCGCGACAAACCCAGATGCTAATTTATTTGCCCTGTTTGTGTGATCACCTCGTCAGTAGAAACTTTCTGACTACAAACTGAAAAAGTTGGGTAATATATATATATATGTATAGTTGATGATGTCCACCATGACGTGATCCCATCTGACGCGGCCTTGTTGGCCCTGCCCACCGAATCACGCTTTGCTGTAGTTCGATGTTCGGAGAAATAAAAGGGGTCGAAAAGTTCACCCCTGGGTGTGATCCTTTCAGTAAAAGGCCCTTGCCTGGAGCGAACATTGTACCACTCTTTGAGAAATCTAGAGCGGGGATGTGACTGTAGATACGAGTTTGGATGATCTATGAATATTTTTTTTGTTCAGTAAAACATGATCTAAAATGCGGGAACTTCAGACTCCAGAGTGGGACCTTAGGGGTGATTTTGTGTAGTAAAATGTTTTGTTTTTTGGGTTGTTCCTTTTCTTTTTTAAGATAAAGGAATCTTAAGTGAACCGGGATCATAAACGATGGGATCTCAGGTGGAGACTTCTGTGTTAGATTAAATCGGATAGAGTACTATTAATGGAGACTCAAACTCTTTCCACCCCCCCCCCCCCCCCCTTCCTCCTTCGTCTTTCTTTAACAGAGAAGTTATTCACCATTTTTGTTAAGCAGGTACTAATTTTTAAAAAATATGGATCCACTGTGACATCGACATTTAGACATCAGTAATAATAATGAGATAAATGGGTTTTAAAACATAAAATAGGTCTACTGGCTTTCCTAATCTCAAGGACCTCGGAATAAAACCTTCTTTTCTACCTAGATTTTAGAGCGAGAGTAGGGAAGCGCAGGTTGACCATGGTTCCGGTGCGAGAGAGGGCCTCTATCAGGCGTGCGTTGCCGCCTATAAAGCAGCCTCCAGTTGTATAACCACCTTGCCTGTCATTCAACAGGTCACGGGTTCGAATCCGGACAGCAACGGAAAATTTTATTCTCCAAAATGTTCTCCTTTCATCTTCTTTTCTGCTCTCTAACATTGTTCTGTCGTCAGCGCTTTCGTCTCCACTTTCTGCCCCTCAGCTCCCTCTTCTGGGGTCCTGACTCTTTCTGCAGCCTTTCTACTGCTACGCATTGGCTCCTTCTTATTGTTGTCTTTCAGTCACACTCACGATCTTCTGGTAGGGTAAACTTTCTCGGACAAGGGCGAAATATCTCGGAGGTCCCGTGTGCAAATTGTGCACGTTAAAGATCCCTTGCTGGTCCAAAATCGATAAGAGCAAGTAGACTTCGGCCGTCCCCCGGGCAAAGTTCAAAATTTCCTACCAACTGAAAATGTTTAAAGTGTTCCGCGCACTCATACGACCTTATGCAGTTGTGAGTGTCGTAAATTACTTACCAAAAAAACTTTAGCCTAGTTTAACTTGACCAGAAACCTAGAATCTCATAAAATTCAAGCTAGAGAGAAAAGAGAAAACGACCTCATAATAATATGTAGAGCTACCAGGGTTGGTGATTTTTAAAATTTAAATCAGATATCTTTGATTTAAATCGGGTTTTTTGTTGTTGATTTTTTTTAAAAATGTCGACAGTTTGGGATTTTTGGTGGCTAAAAGTATGTTCTTTTAGTGCAAAATGCATTGTCTTTATTTTAACTAATGATTAATTTAAGCAACTAGAAAGCCTCTGCAATATCAGTGAATTATGGCTACAGATAAAAAATGAAGAAAATGTCAGTCTAAAAGGAAGGGGGGGGGGGGGTAATTATGCATAGATAAACTTGCATTTTATTACAGTGTGTGCGTGCGCACACGCTTGTGTTGGTCTAAAAAGAAAAAGAAAATGCTAATTTCAATTATGAAAAAAGTAAATTGAATACTGTATTATTTTACAGCGATAGGGGGGAAAGCAGACTTTTAAGCTTGATTATATTAATCTACTAAACCTTATATCTGTTTTATAAAACAAAGGAAAGGAATTCTGAACGTTTAAAGATGTAAAATCAGAATACATTTTTTAAAAAGTGATTTAAATCACTGAGTTTTATTTTTAAAATGAAGTTTAACCTAGTTTAAAATCAACTGATTTAAATCAACCCAACCCTGATTTCAATTAAATTATGAAAAAAAAAGTAAATTGAATAACTGTATTATTTTACAGTGACAGGGGGGAAAGCAGACTTTTAAGCACGATTATATTAGTCTACTAGATCTAAACGTTATATCTGTTTATTAAAACCAAGGAAAGGAATTCTGAATGTTTAAATATGTAAAAACTGAATACATTTTTTAAAAAGTGATTTAAATCACTGATTAAAAAAAAATAATCAAGTTGATTAAAATAAAAAAAATCAACTGATTTAAATCAACCCAGCTCTGATTTCGATTAAGGTAGAAAAAAAGTAAATTGAATACAGTATTATTTTACGGTGAAAGGGGGGGGGGGGAAGCAGACTTTTAAGCATGATTATATTAGTCTACTAAACTTTATATCTGTTTTATGAAACCAAGGAAAGGAATTCTGAATGTTGAAATATGTAAAAACTGAATAAAATAAAATTTTTAAAAAAGTGATTTGAATCACTGATTTTTATTTAAAAAATCAAGTTGATTTGAATTTTTAAAAATAACTGATTTAAATCGACCTGATTTAAATCAACCCAACCCTGAGATCTACATCAAAACGCCTGGACGCCTGGACCCAAGATGTAAGTGTACATGTACAGTGTCAGTGTTTTCAGTTTGTATTGTTATATCATAAGCTTACTGTCATGAAATTATTATATAGATCGTAAACTTAGACCTACAGGCTGGATCTAAAATTTATTTACAGTAGGATAATATTGGTCTTTTAAAATAAAAATAAAAATATATATAATACCACAATTTTAAAAAACTTTTTTCCCCAATAGATCTAGATCTAGATTCTAGTATTAGATCTAGATATATAAATGATATAAGATAGGAGCAAAACTAAGGTTGTTATTCTTGATATCAATTTCCATTTTTCAGTGGAGAAAACATACAAAAACCAAATTTATCCCAATAGACCATGCTGACAGGGAACTTACTAAATTATCAGAAATCCTTTTTGTACAATAAAAATAATTTTACGGATGTGCCTGCCAGAAGCGATGGCACTCGACTACAGAATTTCTTCTACGCCTGTCAAACTAACGCCACTATAGAAAACATCTTTGGCGTGTCCGAACACAAAGCGCGTCTCCCATCATGCCTCACATCTTCTACAATAGAGAGCTGACGAAGTCGATATTTTCCGTATCGAATGATATCTGAGAAAGAATCGATACTAGGTATTGAAAGAACCCCCACAAAGAACGACAAAATGAGAGGAAATAAAAACCGTGTAGCCTACCTCTTCAAAATGTTCCCATGGCTAGCCTAAAGGGCTTTTTAAAAAAAATAGTAACTGTACCTGATTTTACGTAACTGGTTCGGAGAAAAGCATACATCTAGGCCTAATATCTCTGTCTGCGCAAACCTCCACTTCAAGAGTTCATCTGAAAAAGTTCATTTTTTTATTCATAAGGATAGGAACTCAATTTGCAAAATAAATCTGTAATCAGTTTTTATTAAATAAAAGCTGTTTCTTTTATAAATGTGTTATCAAAATTGTTATTACAATTTCTAAAGTCAAAATTTCAAAAACGATTTTTAAAATATTTTTCTGAAGAAAAGCGCATCAAAATATAATGCGATTTAAAATTGATCATTATACAAGCAGATTTCATGATTTCACAGAATATGCCCAGGAACAGTATATTTGTAGCATTATAATATGAAAAGGCAACGTGGATTTAATTGAATGACCGACATTGTAGGGTATTTGTACTGCCAAAATATAGTAATATTAACTCAGTATTTCATATGACCTCATGGAACGACTGAACATGAACTATGAAATTGGGACCAGTTACAATTTAAAATGTAAGGAGAACACATAGCACCAAACACAATATAGTTGCCAGAGAGCAGATACAGGCTCATTATTATCATGTTACCTAATTTGGCCCACATTTCTCTACCTTTTCCTCGAGCTATGTTAGCACATAAAAAATTAAGTTTTAGAATAATCGTCTCTTGCACGAAGTATCGAGTATCGATCAAGTAGTTCTCATCATTGAGTATCGATAACACAAAACGTTTTTGTCGACAAGTACTGGATTGGTATCGAGTTGTACCCAACTTCTACTCTTCAAAGTGTGTGTTGACAAGCATCATGGCGTCTAATTTCAAAATCGGAGATCTTGTATGGTATGAACATGTATTTATGATTTAGTATGATGGTTTATCGACTCTTGTATTTCCAGTTTCTTAGAATTAACTCTTGCCTTTTAATTTTTATTGCAGGGCAAAGATGAAAGGCTTCCAAGCATGGCCCGGAAAGGTAAGTGAAGGAGCCGGCATCCAGCATTGTTGATGTTGACAGTTGATTTATTTTGATTTTGTGGCTGTGCATCACTACTTGTTGTGGTTGGTTGCTTCAGTTTATAGTTCTCATGTTAATATCTTTGTTGTTAAAGATGTTCCACACCCTATTTTGTGTACCACTGGAACGTATGTAGATCTAGAGCCATAAGTCCTACAGGATCTCTAGATTAGATCTACCTTCTCTAATAAGTGTTGAAATTGAAGAGTTCCACTCTGAAAGTTGGCCCTACTGCAAGGCCTAGGAGCACACGCCTCATTCAATGTTCAACTCTTATATTATGTCTTACTACTCAGACTCCTACCTGCACTTGAAGTCTAAACCAAGCAATTTACCCCTCATATTTCGTTACATTGCGTCCTTTTTTGTACGAGTTCAATGGCAGTTGCATTGACGATTAGATTCTAGATCTAGAATCTAGATCTAGATTCTAGTAGGATGAGGCTTTGGCTTCTAACTTAGCTTAGAAGTTAGGTTAAAGACATACATGATGTCTTGTAGTTTTATGATTATTATTATAGGCTAGGCCTATATGCTGAAGATTAGAATTACTGATGGCAGATGGTTGAGAGTAACAACAAAAAAAGGAAGAGAGATCAGGACAACATGTTTGATAGGAGTAGGAGGAAGACGACCTTCTATTCAAGTCTGTTCTCACCTGGGCCTGGGGTGAGAATGGCGCAGTTGTAGGCCTCTCACGGGGTTGTGAGGGCGAACCTTTCGGCTATTTTCACCCGGTGTGTGTTCATTGCTTAGTGCATTGGCTCAGGCAGATCACTCCGGTTGAGGGGGCGAGCCTTTTGGCTATTCTCACCCGGTGTGTGTTCACCGTATTCAGTGTAAACAACAGTGCTCTTGTGTTAAAAGCGTTCAATTTTGTCTACAGGCAGTGAGTGAGAGGGATAGAGAGAGGTGAGAAAGAGATAGGGAGAGAGAGAAGTAGTGAGAGCTTCCGAGTAACACAAAATGGCAACCGGTGTAGTTCGGCTGATTCGAAAAGTGAAATAGCCGTAGCATCTTTTTAGACGACCAAATTAGTTTACTTTTGTGCTATAATATGTTTTTGTTCTTAGTTTTTGTCAATTTGATCATGCACACCAATAGACAGTGTATTCAGAAAGTAGTAGGAAAAACAAGTCTTGTTTCCCACCGGGTGAGAATAGCTGACGCTGTCAAGTCTCACCCGGTATGAGAGGTTGATCATATTTTTATTCTGACCCGGGGTGAGAATAGCCACTTCCTAGGAGGAAAGAGGGAGTAAACCACACCAGAGCACCCGTCAAGTAATCGCATTGCCTTTGACTACATTCATGGCGCAGTGAACGTAATTTGCTGGCTACGTTCATGGCACCCTGAATCATCCACCATTGGCACAGAGGCACTACTAAAACGCTATGGTCTCAACAAATTGAATGAGGAAACAGCACAGGAATACTCGCGTGAAAAATAATGCAGCGGTGGTTTAAATGCAAAGGAGTTTACGGAGGGTGAATGCAGGCACATCAAAACAGCCGCGGTTGACATTGCCTCGCTTGCTCAGTGTGCGAACACGACTTCGATCCTCTTCCCGTGTGAGGACACGCCAAAGCTCGACGATTTGAAAATAAAAGCCGTTCGAAGAAACAAGGGAGAATGGAAGAAGAGGGATGGGAGAGGGGTAAAAAAAAAGAACCAAAAGGGATATGGGTAGGGGTTGAAGTGAGCAAGATCATTCTTAAATTGCAAACTACATTCAGGGCTCTGTGAATGTAGTCGCTGTGTAATTATAATATAAATTACCTGTTTAACACTTTTCACCCGCACAGTGTGCAGAGCGCGCAGCCCTAATCCCCACGGACCAGGGTACAGGTGCTGTAGATGCTATCACACCGTTGCCGATAGGCGTCCCATGGGGAAAAGGGACGGCTTCTTACCATCACAGATGGGCGTCCCGTGGGGGCATAGTGTTAACCACCGCATTCCTGTGTTTTTTCCGGTTGGATAGCTAAATAAATTCCATCTTGTCGACCTTTTACTACTTTAAAATTTTACCTAAATTGAGGTAGAGGTCTATAGTATTTATTTAATAATTTGAAAATTTCAATCAGTTCGAAATAGGTATTATTTTAACCTGGCTTTGTATTAAACATAAAACTTTTGTTTTTGTTGTAAAATCTCAATCACATTAATTATACAGTATTAGTGTTTAATACTCACACTTGCTGTAAAGTAAAATAGTGAGGATAGCATTCAGAATTATTTTTTTTAATCAGATAAATTGGCAAATCAAGTATAGACTCACTGAGACAGTCTGTAAGTTGTCTTTTTACAACAAACTCAAAGCAAAGATGAGAGTGACATCTCATTGGTAGACCATAGTCCATAGTTTTACGTCTTTCCTTTCCACTTGTTTTCTCTATCTTGCTTTTCCCTGAGTTAAATATCGATGTGTTTCTTTCTTTAACTGTCTACAACATATGAAACTAAATTCTTCTACCTTGCTTAGACTCCTATATAAAAAAAAGTGTTTTCTACCTTTCCTACAGATTGTGGAGCCTAAAGAGAACATCAAGAAGCCTGCCAACAAAAAGAATGTACAGTTTGTTTACTTTTATGGATCTGAAAACTAGTAAGTAGTCATTTTTACTTGTCATCATAAGATTATCGTTTTTGTGGGTTAGTGCGTCTTTTGGATGACACTATTTGGTTTGCGAAATACAGATTAAGTGGATACCAGATCTTCAAAGAATTTCAATTTTTATCCGAATTGCTTTAAAACAAGATTAAAGGAAAGAGGGGTAAATTCTAAGATTTGTGGTTTTTAATGTTTAAAGATCCATTGATAAATTTTATATGAAATAATTGATTATATTTGGGTGTTTTGTTGCAAAATTTTTTAGGAGACTGCTTGAAAATATCGCCAAAAAGAGTTCAACGTTTCTTCTTGTATTTTGAGGGAAAACCGTTCATGAATCAGTAATGTGAGGCATTGCAAAACTTCTTACATTTTCAACATCTTAGTTTAAAAACTACTGTTGTTAAATTTTGAACTCTGGCCAGAAATGTAGCTTCGATCTGAAAAGAATCAGCGCTGTTCAGCTGTTCTCCGATCACCCCTTCTACGTAACAAAGGATAGGGAAAACCCGCAATGGACCCATTGGTGACCTGTTTGGTTTTAGGCCGCAAGGCAGGCTTGTTCAGTTTGTGAACCAGTTTCCGGCCCTATCTATTATCACTGGATGGGTGATATTAAGTTGGTACATAAAATGTTACGTATGCAAAGAGATCTGAAATTTTATAGCAATAAAGAAGACATGTGGGGTGCCTGTCTGGTCAGCATCCATGCAGCATCTCCTCTTAGCTTTTGAAAAAGGGAAGAATATTTGACAAACATTGCAACTTCTATGGTTCTAGAAATCTGTCAACACTGGACACTCCCATCTTATAGTAAGTTTGGCCTTTCTTTCGGTTGGTTGTCAAGTTTCATTCTTTTTCGTCTACCCATTTTCCCATGATAATACTCTTAAAAGAGAGTGGCCTCTGATCCCATACAACCCCAAAATTGCCACTCGTGCGAAGTGGGCATTGCTACGTTGAAGCAGGTGCTTTGGCTTTTATATTTCTTGCAGTATTTGCTCTTGTGTTTTCAACATTTTCCAAAGCAAGTCTACAAGAGAAGGTACTAGTTTTATATATATGTGTGTAAAACATGCATCACACTACAGGCAGACTTTTTCTTTCTCTGCCTTACCTGCCCTCATAGTTCCATCAAGTGACACAGAAAATGGAAGTTGCAGACTATAGACCTGCCAGTGTTCCTAATTTTATTGGGAAATTTCTTAATTCAGGCTGCCTTTCCAGAGGTCCCAGTAACCATGATGTCATTTTCCTGATTGATTTATGCCGTAGAGTAAAAATGATTTTTTCCTTGAATTTGTGAATGAATGAAAACTGGAAAAGTGTGTGCTTACTGGATGCAGCGCTACCTTCTCTGACAATAGCAGCATTTATTTTTTGTGTATAGTCTAGCCTCTTCAAATGTTTTGCTGGATTTTGTACTGGCAGTAGGTAGTTGAGAGTTTAATTGTGGAATGATGATCTTAGCATACATTTTTCCTATTTCAGAAATTGAGGGGCTCATTTAATTTTGTTTGATGGGAAACGAAACATATATTTGCGTTTTTTGGTAGCATTACCACACACCCCGGCCAGAAGTCCAAAAACATGGTGGACTTTCCAGTATAGGGTAATCCTGGGAAATGTTTATTTATTTCACTGTTGTTTTTTTGCATCTGGCCTATATACTATGTATATTTCATCAATGCATGCTTGAGAAATGAGAGCATTCGTTGAAGAAAATATTTTTTATTCCTGATATCTTCTGTGAGAGGTGAGTTTATATTGAAAGAAAGAGGGTTGGTCGGTCGGTAGCAAGTCTGAAACCTGCCAATCCAGTTTACAATTTTTTACCCCCCACGCCCTATTTGGGTCATGCAGTTTTGAATTGGCGGTTTTAGAAAGTTAAGTTATTTCGCAGTTTACATTGAATATCTTCTTGGTAAAGGTTATTGTATTTGGTCAGGACTCACATGTACTTTATGATTAAGATGCCTGTAGTTATAACATTTAATTTTGTCTTTTGCTTTGTTATGAGCAATAAAAATATAAATTGTTTGTTTTGTGAATGATTGCCTCTGGGCCTTCTTATTTTTCTTTATTTGTTTTATGCTTGTATATTAACGAACAGTTAGCCAGTTTTGTTAATAATGAAATTATGCTATCATCTTCGCAGTGCTTGGATCCAGGAGGAAAACATCTATCTGTACCCTGAGTACAAAAGCAAGTATGAAGGCAGCTCTCGCATACCCAGGGGCTTTAAGGAAGCACTTGAAGCCATTGAAAATGAGCACCAAGCAATGCTGGTGAGTATTGTATAACACAGACTTGCCATTCGTTTCGATTTAATCAGAATCCAAATTTTTTGCCTCAAATCTCAAGCATTCTGAATCGTTTCAATCTTGATTGCTTGTGTCCTGATTTTTTGTGAGAACTTTCTGTACGTAGGAAATCGTAGCATTATTTTCAGAAATATCTATGCTGAATTTTGTAGTTGACTCACCCCATGTAGTGTTGGGTCTTTGCTCGCACGTGTTATTTTAACTATAATTATAATCGAAGTAGTATCGGTTTTTTGGCATTCTAACTTGAGATATTCTCAAGATCTACTTTTGCTTTTGTTACCTCTCAGAATTCTCCGATGATGGCCTGATTATAACTGTTACAGTTGCGACATACAGATAATCAATATTATTTGTAGTTCTGCTGTTACTTTCAAAACTTGCTTCGTCCGTCCCTCCGAGATCCTGATTTTTTAGATTTCATAGAGTGGCAGGTCTTGATAGCATGTTGCTGCTGCAACAGTATGACATGCAAAGTGAAACAGGGACATCTATTTTTGCCTACATAAAATGGGTTTTGACAATAATAACAATGACAGTCATTATTCATCTCTCAGGAAGAACTTTTTCTAGTTCACTGTGCAAAAAAAATTCATCATCTTCAACATCAGAATAAGCTAACAATAAAATTAAATACTGAAAAAGCAGGTGTTTTGTTGAGGAATTTGATTAACAATCTTGATTTGGAGGGTGGCAATGATTCGTAGTCCAAAATTGTTGGTTGGACAACTTGCTGTCACTCGAAAAGTGCCTTCTTCAAGCATGGAATGGTCACAAAGAAGGGAAGTATTATGTCTGACCAATGCTATAAACATGGATTTTGAGAACTGGAAGGAGATAAATTGTATTAACCCTGTCTGTACGCCATGGGGTCATTTTGTACCCCCGGGATTGTATTCTTCACATTTTAGAATATTTCTAGTACGAAGATCTTTGAAATTTTCAGTATTTCTCAAAAAATCATTTTGCCAGACTGCTATACAAAGTGTACGGATGGGATTATAATGAGTAAATTTCCTCTTTGGAAAATGGTGGCGCAGAGTTCCCCACTTCTTATGGATACGATAGTAAAACACGACGTACGGACAGTGTTAAAGTAAGGGAGATGAAAACGACCAGCTGTGTGTCATTCTGGTTGATTGGAGGAGTTAGTAAAAAATTGCAAATGTGAACATATGAGCACAGGTGCAGAAGTTAGTTACAAAATGTATTCATGTATATGTGGATTTTATGTGTTCACACTATTTTTATTGTTTTTGTCTTTTCTCTCAGCATTTGATTTTAGTTTTAAAAATATTTTTTTAGTGTCTATTGAGGGTCCTGCAAGTGCTACCCAAATTTGAGGTATAGATTTACTGTGTGTGTTTACTATTTCGGCCTTGTCAGGCTTCTGGCAAGTTGGAAGATTTACCTTCTATCGATGAAGAGGTGGCACTGATGCAGAAGTCTGCGGGTGTCGAAGGAGATGCGTCAGCATCCACTCCTGCTCCAAGAAAGGTGAGTTTTTTAGCTCGTATTTCCACTTCATAATTTATGACGAAAGGATTTGGCTACTATGGGGAAAAGTTTACTCTTGCCTGTAAGTGGAATGCATTTATACAGTATAGGATTTTGCTTTTCAATATCTGTCTCTATTATTTCGATGGTCTGTATGAGTCACTCAGGAATTGTGTAATGAAATCCAATGTTGAATGTTTATTTCAGTGCTTTGTCTTTGAACATCGGTCCTGTTACGTCTATTCTTGGACTTGTTGCGTCTAGATGCCATTTGTAGAGATCAGTAATCGGTTCTGTGTCTTTGCTTTTGCATCACGTCTTTTGTCAAGACATGCCTAGGCTTCAAAACTCTGCAGTTAATTCCTCTCCTTTTTCAGTGTGCCTTGACTTTGCCTTTTCCAGGCTTAAAATTGTTCCACGGCTGTTCAGTTCTACTATCCTTGCGGAGCTCTTAGTTTAACCCATCCGCTGACCTCCCGGGGTCATAAATCCCACCTGACCTCCAGGCCACGAATCCCTTTCTGGGCGATAGTGCTGTTAGCCGATTTGGGGTAGAAGTCTGTGATTTTTTTTGGATTTAGGCCCCTGTGAATGTCCTCTCTTGTCTTATCTATCATTACGAAGTATCAAATAAAAGTCCAGACTCTCCCCAATAACCCGCTTCCTTTAGTTTGGTTCTAGTTCAAATCGTGTGTACACACTGCCTCTGTACTTAACCCTGCCTTGTGGTGCACATATTTCTCAGATTGCTACAAAGATAAGAATTTTTTTCCATTCGTGAAACGCAGATTGTGTCAAAGGATGTGTTGTAACATAACTGGTCAAATTGCAAAACAATGATAATGGCGCTGGAAAATGTCACCGTGGCATTTTCAAGATATGATGTTGGAGGAATTATGAAGTTCTATGTAATGCTAGGAAATTCGGGTAATTCTGCTGTTGAAACACAGGTTTCATGTTAGTAAAGCATTGGGCATGCAGACCCTTTCAGTTCATACCGTTAGAAAACGTTGTAGAGAGGTTCAAAGTGGAAGGTCAAAGTGACTATGGGAGAGATAACAGTGCTTCCTGTGAAAAAAAAATGTTGCGAAAATGAGGTCTGCTGTTTTAAGAAGATAAAAATGGTGAGTTGTGAAGGAATGGGAATGATATTGTGGGCTTGTCAAAAGCTAACTGTTCAAAGGCAAAGAGTATATAAACAAAAACATGGTATTCACGGAAGACCAGAAAGAAGCTCGAATTAACTTTGTTATATAATAGTATTGAAACCATTCCTGTCTACTAGTCTCTTGACGGCCAAATTTATCTGAACAGAATTGCCACTTTTGATGAAATGTGGATTTTTTCATGGAACCCAGAGTTGAAAAAACAGCAGACAGGCTGAACAATGGACAGATCCTAACCAACCACAACAGAAAAAACATATTGAAAACAATGAGGAATCAAAGTAGAGCACGTGTCCTTTGACAGTACAAGCATAATTTTGTTCTGGGAAGTTTACTTCGTTGATGGTCAATAGCACAAACCAGTCACAAAAGACAAACTAAGGGTACCCATTTGCAAAAGAGACTGGGTATTCTGGAATGTAGTGTCATCTACCACCACGATAATGCGCTTGTCCACAAATCCAGAGTGGTCTCTGAACTTCTCGAGGGCTATGTGTGGGATTTTCTGGAGCATGTTGTAAAGTACCCTAGTACCCTATTTGTGTGACATGTGCCTTTTCCTGTTTTTGTTTTTTTTGGATTCCCTGTTTTAGACAAAAATAGTTATGCCATAATCACAGAAAAAGAAAGGTTTTTTGTTTTTTTTGCTCTACTTAGTTGCCGTATCAGTTACATTTTTGAATACACCATATATATATATATGCCTCCCAGGAAGTTAAGATTGTTTCAGAATGGTAGCAGGTCCGCTGAGTAATAGGTTATAAGGCCCAGAGCTAGCTGTTGCTCGGAATTTGTACATTCAAATGCTATTTATTTTGAATGTTGTACCAATCATGGTCTTTTGAATTGATGAAGCTATTACTACTGTCTTTGGGTTTTGCAAACTTGTCAATGATGGACCGACTCTTTGTCAAAGTGATAAAATAAGCTTCACTGAAAGAAAAAAAAGAAATATTTTTCAGTTGTATCAGTCCAATGTAGACAAAAGTGTGAAGTTTAGTTACGATGGAAAAAGTAAAGCAATGTTAAGATGGAAATGTGTTTGTTTTTTTAAATTTGAGTATTTTTCATATTTGACTGATAAACTTAAAATTTGTTATGCAGTAGATTGATATTGGAGCTTTATTTGATTTCTGTCCATTTTGGTTTGTGGTAATTATGAATATTCCTCTACCTTGAATGCTTTTTGTATTCCAAAACCAATTGTGGCCCCGACTTTTCATGTTGAAAACAATTTTAGCATTTTAAGTTTTTTTGAAAATGTACATTTGCAACATGCAATATTTTTTAAAAATTGTGTTATTTCCTCTACATGCACAGATTAAAAAACAGAAAGACTCTAAAGATGGAAAAGAGTCTCAAACCAGAAAGGTGGGTACATTTTGTGTCATGTGTACAGGCTTTTATGGTATTGAGTTAGTTGTGTATTGTGTGTCTAGAAAAGTTTTTATTGACAGTGAGTCACAAGCACACGCTTGGGCATACTCACCTTCACATGCACGCATACACACTCACACACATAATATTAAATTCACATATACACGTAGTGTGTGAGAGAGTGAGAAAGAAAAAGATGGACAAACATACAAATGGAGAGAGAGAGGAGGAGGGGGCGGGATGGGAGGGGAGAATGAATGAAAAAGAGAGAGAGAGGGGGGATTGAGGATTGGGGTGGAAAGGATGTACGTGTGTTTGTATTTAACTTTTGTTGTGCATGTTGGATGTGTTGTGAAATGACGGGTACCTCATAAATTAACTTTATAGGTGTTTGGCAGCTCTGTCGTTGTTTT